ACTTTAAATGTTATAAGTCTTTGTGTTATTAATTATTTACCTTATTAATATTATCATATGTTAATTTCTATATGGTACTTAAAATCCTACGATTCTACGATTCGATTTTACCCCAGTTTTTTATTTTAGGTAAAATCCCGATTTTAACTGCTTTGTCCCTCATATATATAATGTACTTAATTTAGTTCTAAAGAGTCTTCTCTGGCCATAGCGATACTCACAAATGTTATCTTTGTTTGAGACCATTCTTATGACATGTTTGTATTTCCTGTAGCGTAGTTTTTCTAGATTATGTAATATTTTTCAATTACTCCTCCAATGTGTTGCCTGATAAATCATAAATTATAAATGTTTTCACCTTCCTTTAGACGGTTTTTATCTTGTCATCATAGCCATGATCTTATGTTTTTGCCAGTTTTACGCTTGATTTGTTGTTTAGGTGTGTTACGGGTCATGAGAATTGAATCCGAAGATATTTGGACAAGAATTGAGCATTGGATGACTAGGAGAGCACTTGGGATGTGTTTTGAGATGGATTTACAAAGGGCTCCAAGTTAGTCCCACGGTCGTGGAGCAGTCGTGAGAAGAATCAACCCAAATTTAGAAATTTGGCTGAAATTAATTCATGAGGAGTTCATAAGTAGAGCCATGGCCATGAGGAGGCTCAGAGCAATCGATCAAGACTTCCGCCATGAAGATCAGTTCTTCTTTCTTTTTTTTTTTTGTTTTGTTTCTCCACTCTCAATGAATTAATCTTTCTTTGTTGTTTGGATTAGAGGAACCCTAGATATAGCATACTAAGTTGACTAATTATATATGGATGTCGATGTTTATGTATCTTTGATTCATCTTTGATTTATCAAACGAGTATTCGGTAGTTGTGCGCCTATTGTTTACTTGATTGTTGCATATGTATGGCGAGGAGAGGATCCCCATATGCATAATAGAATTCTCTTCGATGAAAGGGACCTCAAACTGCTAGAAGATAGTGGTTGAGGGATTCTCATATTAGGGATAAACCTAATGGGGGGACTCATAAATCAGTTATTGCGTTAGTTAATTACATTTAGGTCGAAGAGAATACCATATCTAAATTGAATTGATTAATAAGGTGTTAAATGAGAGAAATCGGGTTAACAATAAATTGGAAATTTATAAGTCAAAGAAAGATAACATCAAGTCTATACATGTTCAATTGATGAATTATAGATTAGCTAGGGGAGATTCGAAGTCCGAACAACACCTTATCTGCTTGAATTTTCCTAAGTGTATGTGTTTTGCCTATGCTGAATTTTATTGCTCTTTTTATTTAGTTTAGTTAATTAGAAGAATTGATAAAGGATCGGTTAAATAATAGAAAATATAGCCAATTACTAGTAGTTCATAGTATTTTTGGGAATACGACTTTGATTACCATTATATTGCTCCTATGATAGGTACACTTGCTTTAGTAGTTACACTAGAAAAGGCCATCATTCCCCTTTTTTGCCGCATGCGTCATTTTTATGTCCTTCGCTGAAGATCCTCCCTCTCAAGACCACGAGCTTCTCCCGAATTTATCCTTACACAGTCGGACGCTTCTTTGTCTCCCTCGACTGGGTTCGTTTCCTCCGCCCCCAACATAGATTTTTTAGCATCTGCGCCACTCCCATTGCCACGTGCTCCCATTCTTTGCCGCTCTCTCCGTACTATCCAAAGTCAGTAGGCCACCCATTTCATTGACTATGTAGCTCGTGGTGTTGATGTCTTTTTTTCCCACTCGCTTTAAGAAATTTTAGGGAGATCCCTGGTAGGAGAGCTCTATTCAAGCTTAAATAGATGCAGTGCATGCCAACAATGTGGTCGAAGTTACACAAAGATCCAAGGGTATTTTCTTGAGTCAACATAAATATATTGTCGATTTTTTTTTTGCTTATCCTAATTGGCATTAGTGTTTACCTATCACACGCATATGCAACTAATTCAAGTTTGGGCATGATTCAAGAGAGTTACTGGATTGGTACATTCTACCGTAACACCGTTGGGAGTGATCAACCAATTTATGGAGGCTCATCTCATTTATCATCTTGTAGTTGTTCATTGCATTCTTTGTTTTCTACAGTGCACTAAGGACGTTGGCGTATTCTTTCTGTCAAATAGTGTTTTTTTCTTTCTTTTCACAATGCTTATTTGATTCATATTTTTCTAGTTGTATCAATACCCGACGCTCGACCATTGGTTGGTGTGTTGATTTTGGGATGCTTTCATATATGAATTGATATGGGTTCATCATTTGTTGTCCAATTTTGGTGTTTCTTGTGCTTCTCCTGCGTAGCTTTTTTTGACAGTATGTGCAATTCAAATTCCTCTGAACATAGTTCTTCATTATCGAACCAACCACATCAAGATTCTTATTAATTTTCTTGCGGATATTGTTCTTGATGTTGATCTTAGGTTGCATTAGCTTCAGTCTGGGGACCAGGATGCTGACATTTTTTTTTCAAATCATTGCCCACAAATGTCATTGGTATTTCTCGAACAAATTGTTGTTTAAACACCTTCATTAATTTGGGAGGTTGTAGGCACACCTTGTTTCGACCCATTTGTATATAGCCTTTAGAGGTTGGGTTCCTACTAGTACTTGTAGCCCATAGTTATATTCGTCTTACTTTTCTCGGATATGATAGTTTCTTCTATTGAATAGTTACGACTTACATTATCGGAAGCTTTTTCGATATCCAGCTTGAAAATGATTCCAAGTTTTTTTCTCTTCTTTCTGTCGTCGATAAGTTTATTTGCGATCAGTGTTGCCTCCAAGATGTGTCTTCCAATGACAGAGGCATGTTGGTTACGAGATATTAACTTGGGGAGGACATTACTCATTCGTTTCATGAGTACTTTACTGACAATCTTGTGGAAACTACTCATTAGACATATCGGCCAGAGATCTTTGATACTTTCCACCATGTCAACTTTTGGAGTAAGACAAATGGAAGCTTGTGTGACACTGTTCGGCAAGAAACCATCTCTGTGAAAGTCTTCGAAGGCCAAAAGAAATTTTGTGAAAGTATTCGAAGTGGCAACAATGGATCAAAGGTGATATGTGCTCATCGAGGACTTCTACCTTAGTTAATGGTGAGGCTTATGGGTATTTCTGTTCGGGGAAAGATGTTAGGGAGGGTGATCCCCTTTCTCCAGGCCTCTTTGTTCTTGTTATGGACGTCCTATCATTCCTAATCACTAAGCTTCGTAAAGACAATGGAATTTCAGACTTTTGTATGGACGAGGGTAGGGGATATGGTGAAGTCACACATCTTATGTTCGCGGATGACTCCCTAATCTATTGTGATACCTCAACGGAGCAGATTATTAATATTCTTGCTTTACTCGTATGCTTTCAGTCTATCACGGGGTTGAAGATAAACCTCGACAAGTCTACCTTTGGTTTAAATGGAGCAACGATCCCTCAAAGTATCTTGGGCTACCTTTGGGAGACCGCCAAAATGTTGTCTCAACCTGGAATTCAGTAGTGGATAAGTATCGAAGGGGACTGCAAGGCTGGATGAACAGGTGTCTATCCTTCGTTGCTAGGCTGACTTTAAACTCCTCTACGCTTAACAACCTCCCCGTGTATCATTTTTCATTTAGTAAAGCCCCGAAGACGACTGTTAATCATATGGAAAAAATCCAACGAAGTTTCTTGAAAGTTTTACCAACGCTCTTCTCTGTAAATGGTTGTGGAAATATGCTACAGAAAGAGAAAACTGGTGGAGACAGCTCATCGAAATTAAATATCATCACTCCATCTCCGAATGGAAACCAAGAAGAATTGAAGAAGGGTTTAGTAGCTCGGTTTGAGCTAATATTTGCAAAGTTGAGGACATTTTCTGGAAAGGGGCTAGCCTGGATCCAGGCTCGGGTATTGGTATCTCGTTATGGCACGATACTTGGATCCCAAGGGAGCTGCTAGCTGCTTCTTTTCCACGAGCTGCTAACTGCTTCTTTTCCACGAGCTGCTGCTTCCATGCCCAACGCAAGTCTTTCAGATTCTGTGTCCTGGTAAGGTGAGAATAGATTGTGGGAAATACCTTTTTTTATTAATATCTGGGGTGGGGCTGAGAGGGAGAGGAATTTCCTTTTAGAAAAAGTAAACGAGAATTATCATCGTCTTTCGATTGGTCCATGTGGTATGGTATGGAACTCGTGCTCTAATAAGTCTTTCTCTATTAGTTATATGTACAAAATGCAGGTTCATGATCGATTCACTGAGACGGAGGGCTTTTTGTATCAAGTTGTTTGGAAGAACATTGTTCTCACAAAAAATTGCGGTTTCCTGTGGCTTGTTTGGCACAAGAAGATTCTCACCATCGACAATCTAAAGAGGCGGGGTTTTGAATTGGCTAGCCTCCAGATCCGTGTTCTCATCCACTGACATCTCCATCTTCATAAATCAGAATAGATAGGAGTTACAGGTTAGGGTTATCTTTGTATAATGTATATATACTTGTTGTATTGTTGTCATGCGGCATAATAGGATATATCACAGTTAGCAACTTAGCATCAAATCTTGAATCAATCTTCAAGAAAACCACGTTAAACTCTTGTCTTATCGCCATTCTTATATTAAGAAAACATGAAAGGTTGATAACTATATATGACTATTAGGATAAGATGAATTTGAAGTTTGATTTTTTCAAAATATTGATGACGTGGGATCATAAGGAGAAATGAACTATTATGTAATTTTCAAGAATTGAAGAATTAACATTTAAAATTCTTGGTAAAATTGTAGGGAGCGCAAAAAAAAATTGATAAGCGGATCTCCAACGATGAAATATTCAACTTCAAATGCTTGAAATAAACGAGATACAGCTAACAATGGAAAATAGTTACATTTGAAGCAGGAAATCAAGGAAAATCACACATATGCCTCTCTTCCCCAACATTCTCTTTCTCATGCCCTCCATGCCTAATTAATATGTCTATAAATATTCCAGCAACAGAAGAAGATCATCCCCGCAACCCAATAACCCCTCCCTCCACCTGACTAGCAGAGATCAAGTTGAGTTTGTATTGGTTGTCCAATTCATCGATATGGCTTTGAGGGCAACCACCGTCAGTAACCTTTCTCCCTACTGCATATTTATGATGACAATATTATATGACTCACTTTACTAAATGGGTTTTATGCAATGGGCATGCAGATAAGGAGTTGGAGATGGTCACCAAAACTGTCGATCATCACCACTACGATCGGATCATCAGGACAGAAGAAATGCTTGGCATCTACTACTACTCCTAAATTGGCCCCGCCTAGTAACTCATCATCTCCTACAAGCAATAGTGCGCCTTACAACAAGTATTGACCGCCTCGGGCCGGGTTACTATGATGATGATGAGTATGATGATGGTGATTACGAATCTAATATGATTTGTGTATATGTACAGGTATTCCTTGACGGGAGAGTACGCCCCAGTGTACATAGTGATGGGATTTGTGTCGGTGGCGGTAGCAATAGGGGTTCATACGGCAAAGCAACAACTAGTGCACTCTCCTGGGGTAAGCTTGAGGAAGACGAGGAGAGGATCCATGTCGGAGGCCGACCGCCCCGATCTTGCAACAACCAACGGCCAAAACTTCCTCAACAAATCCTTCCTCCGCAAAGTTGGTCACATTCAACAGCAAGACAAACACTGACCATCCTAGAGGCTGATGGTCAACTTCTTATACTTTAATTTATATCATTTTCTTATTAATATATTATCATGAATTATTGTGATTGCACAAACATGTGTGTCCGTTCTCTTTACTAGTCTAAGGCACATTTTGTGGATTAGTGTGTAAAATTTTGTTAGCCGGTTGAACATGCTATTGTTCTATGAGATCTCAATCCTTTTCATAAAGAAAAATAAAGGACAATACATAGCAAGAGGTCAAACTTTTTGCAAGGTATTGAGATGGCCACGTGTGGAAGGGGTACGTGTTTAGAGAGACAAAATCATGTGTCTTGGTTAAAACTTGGAATTACAAAGAGGTTTTTCCAAAACTATATATGAAAAAAATATTTTATTGGAACATATGCTTATTTTTACAGGGGCCGGTTCAAGTCGACTTTAATAACAGTGATTCAAATACAACAGAATTGAAATAAAGAAACAAATGGCCATCCTTTATTTTTTAATTTTATCACATAGATAACTGATCTCTCACAAAATACACTTGACATTACTTAACTTTTGGTCACCATAACTAACAATCTCTCCATTGCACTAAAGTTTGTTGTGCCAACGTACCTATGCTATGTGAGTGGTTTTGAAAGCAGATCCGTCGAATTGCACTCGTGCATGATCTTACACAAATGTACCTCACACATTCCACTATTATGCAAATCAAGTGGAAATGCCTAGGAACGTGTTTGGATATCTGAAAAAGATGTACACCTGGCCTGGAGAATTAACATATGACCTACTTTAAATATGTTTTCCCTCATGTTTACTCCAAAACACTGAAAATTTATTTCATTGTACCAAGACCAGTAGATTTTTCGATGTTTGTATGTTTTTTATATTGATGAATGATGTGACACATACTATCAAGGAAAGTGGAGACTAAGAGCAATGCATAGAATGTTTTTCTTCTTGATGCAATTTGTGGTCTTTGCATCCTCGTTACAAGTAAAAATCTTAGACAAATCACAATTGCAATACACATCCCAATGGTCGATTAAATGTAGCTATGTTATCCAAACAAGCATAGAAGCTACTATTATAACCGAAATGTAATTTGGCGTAATATATAAAGCCTGATACCCTCCAATGATAATTTTCTAAATGCTAGAGCTAGCTCATGGCCTTCTTGGACTTGGCAAAGGGTTATATGGGGGAGAGATCTATGCATGAAGGGTCTAAGATGGAAAGTTAGATAAGACTCGTCAATCTCCATCCTTCATGACCCTTGGATACCGTCATAACCCCCTTTCAACACCTCACTACAACTCAATGACGTATTAGAGTAGCCAATGATATCATATCTTATCTAGCAAACTATAACCATTCGGATCATTGATAGATTATAGTGTTTATCCCACCCAACAACACTCCAGCGAATTTTATATATCCTTCTACCCTCAACCATGTGTGAGGAAAATTTTATATGCATATGACAAATCCGATCAATACAAGGTGAAAATAGAGTATCACTTCTTATCGACTGAAATTAACTCATTCCACAAAACTATCTAGATATCAAGTTTTGGAATTTCAAAGCAATATCCATGTTCCGCTTAAACTGGATATTTTCTCTTTTGAGAGTCGTGCATTGATTCTTACCAGTACGATGAGTCCTACACTATCGTAAACTGGTTGCATCTAGAGAATGCTCGTATGTTGTGGACCCATGGAATATAGAAACATTATTTTTTTATTGTAAGATACTTAAGGATGGCTAATGTTGGTTTGGACCATCGTCGTACCTCTATGTGACTACTCCCCCCAAATTTGGTATGGAAAACCTTGTTCTTCTCCCCCAAAATTGTGCTCCAAGCTCAAGTATTATCCCATCAACTAATAGATCGGGTAGAGGAATGGTGAACGATAGAGAGACAAAAAGCATGAAGAACTACGACAACACAATATCGATATTTTTTTCCTTCTTTTTCATAAAAAACGAAGCCTTTTTGCTTTTCAAAGGAATACTCTTATGCTGTTTAGATCTTTAAAGCATGCTTCCATGCCCGAAGGTCCTTAGATTTGTGGTCGGGATGTTCCCTATCATAAAATGGCAACCTTTTTCGATTTGGTGGTGCTATGAAGGTTAACCAGGTGCAATAAGATTTGACGCTTTTCCAAGTGATGGATCAATTTTCTTTGCTTTTGGTAAATTCTTTGGAGGCATTTCAGATACACAGGATAACATCTAAAATAGGTTTTATTAGCTTTCCCTGTCTAGGTTCTCTCATGTTGTTATTGAGTTTAAATGATCATTAAACCTTGCATTTTAGCCTAGGATCACTTCATATTATATATGGAAATGTTTAGGCATGTGATGTGTTGGTTTAGATGAATTAAAGTTGAGTTTAGGGCAACAAGCTCAAGGAGATGCAAGAAGAGAAGTTCACAATCTTATACAACATATAACTGTCATAATTTCAATTCGTGATCTAGAGTTGACAGCCGGGATTTTTATGGTCAGGCTGTGAACCCTAGCAATAGAGAAGCCAAAAGAAGAAGCTCTAGCGGTCAGACTCGCAGGCACTTGTCGAAGACTACGACTTTCGAGTTCATGACCATGAGAAAATATCATGGTCATGAAGTCGTAATTTCAGAAGAAGTTTAGGACGAGACCGCAGTATTTCAAAAATTACGGGCGTTCATCGCAGTTCATGGGCGTGAGCCTCCATGAATGTCACCCATGAACTAGGTTGAGTCCAATTATTCTATAAATAGTCGAAGGAATTCAGAGGAGGGGATAGATTTTCAATTAATAACATCCCTAGAGAAAGAGTAAGAGTTTCTCCTTGATATTTTCGAGTGATATCAAGAGAGGACAATAGTTATAAAAACAAAACTACCCAGGATAGAAGAGAGAGAGTTTAGAGAAGAACATGAGGCATTCAACTTTAGAGGTTAAAGCTGTGTTTTCATATTGGAGTTAAGAAGATTATGTATCTCTTCCCTTTTTAGTGTAATTCTTCTCCTTTCAAGTGGTGGTCACCTTGTATTTGGTTAAGCTGAACCATAGCCCATATAGTTGGTTATGAGTCAAATGTTAATAGAATAACTTGATTCACCACTTTATGATTATTTGATGTTTAGTTAATGTTAATCTCTAGCTTTAGACGAAGTTATTGATTGTCTCGTTCTTGACCTAAACTAGTGACCATTTATTTAGGTCAAGGTAGAACCCACATCGATATCAAGTAAAATGATATTTTAATTGCATGACCTTAGAATTGAAGTCTCATTTGTCTTTTTTTTTTTTTGTCCAAGTTGAGAAATTTTTGCTAAATGTTATGGGGATTAGTGGTTGCATGACCATGGAGCCAAGTATGACCTAGAAGTGCATCTTAAATGCACGACCATTGACTTGGATGCTAGCTAAATAGATTTTGTCATCATAAAGGAATACGAAAATTACATTAATTTTCAGTCTGTTGACTTCATATACCTATCTCAAATACCTCTTCTTTAATTGGGTTAGTCGTTAATTTGCAAGTTAGTTATCTTGTTCGTTAGAAGCAATTAACCATTCAATTGTTTGGTTAGATAGTAAAAAAGCATTGAAGTAACAAAAATATCTAATAACCCGTGAGAATACGACCCTGAGGGTCACCTCTATGTTGCATCGTTTGATCGAGTTATACTTGGATTGATTAGGTGTAGTAGAGTAGTAAGACCTCGAGTTTATAACTTCTTGTCGCACATCAGCTTATGTAGTTGAAGTTCTTGCCTTCCTGATGCTATGAGGTTGTGCCTAATGCATAATTTTAAAATTTTTGTTTTTGTGGCGACTCTCAACTAGTCATCCGACACGCTAATTCAAATAAAGCTTTCTTCTCGCTCCTTCTCGGCAGAGGCAATCTTGGAGGAAATCCACTCATTTTAATCTTCATTTGAGTGTTATTTTCACTCCTTAGAGTTTCAACAGAGTTGCACAAGTAATGGCAAAGCATGCTCTTTCATCGATATTTTGGTTGCATATGGACTACTGCACTTGGTTGCAGGAGTATGTCTTGTAATTGAGTCTTGTATTACTCCTTTGGGTTTGCCTTGGAAAAAAAAAATCAACATTCAAAAAGGTTTCTTATCAAAAGAATATAATTACAAGACTCCTCTTTCGACATTTTGCTCAGCAAATTGACAATTTGCGAGAAAAGCGTGCTAATTCTTTTATTTTAACAACAACAAAAAAAAGAGTTTGGTCTAGTGGTAATACCACTATCCTAGAACCTGGAGATCCCAGATGAATTTCTTAGCTAGTACCTTAAAATTAAAAAAAAAAATTATATCACCCTTATAAAAAAAATTCTTTTATTTTAACAAACCAGAAACTTTCACCATGTGTTTCAAGATTCTCTAAAATGGTTTGGAAATGGGATTTTTTGTTAACCGGTTCGAGTTCTCGTACCAAAATTCTAACCTTAATCTCCAGATTTATCTCTGAATTGAACATTAAACAAAGCTAATTTTGCTTCTCTCCACTTGCAATGAGATACAAATGAAAAGAAACGATAATTCTAATTTTGATGCCAAGTTTCCTACCTACCAAATACCAATTAGCAACGAGGACGATTTCTGGAGAAAAAAAAAAAAAAAAAAAAATTCTCTCCCTCCTCTCTCCCCACGTTGGGCGAGTGGGTAGGGCACTCGCTCTTGTGCGACGATGGCGAAGGCGGTTACCGCCTTCGTGCCCCGCCGTTCCCGGCCATTTCACGGCGGTCGCTGGTTAAAAGGGGCTCCTTCCTCCCCTCAATCCTCCATCTGTCTATCTGCTCTCTGGATTTTCCCCTATTCCTTTGATTTTCGAGAGGATTTGCTTTTCCCCTTTCTCGCCCTCATGGCCGCTGTACACTTCAATGATGCGGATGTGGCTGTCGGTGCTCTGCGCCTTGATCAGACACTCGTTGGTAGACTATGTGGCCCGCTCCCGTCCTTATCGGTGCTGAGGTCTATCGCCGGCAGAGTCTGGAAGTGTGACTTCTCCCTGGCGATTGTCGAATGGGACCTGCTGCAGTTCGTGTTCCCAAACGCTGCAACTGCTCGCCGAATTCGACTGGGGTCACCGTGGGTCTTCGAGAAATTCCTCGTTCATGTTCGTTCGTGGGAGACGCCGACTGCTCAATTAGCGGCGGAGTTGGTCCAAGTTCCTCTGGTGGTGCAGCTTTGGGGGGTACCTTACTACTGCTGTACTGAGCGGCTCGGGACCCGACTTGGGGAGGCCCTGGGTCCGGCCGACCCTGCAGCAATCCACCGTTCTGCTTCATCTGGGGGATTGTATATCCGAACAAGGGTCACATTGGATCTTCACCAGGCGCTTCCGGATGAGATCACTGCTGCTCATGAGGATCCCTCAAAGGGGCAGTTCAAAGCACAGGTGAAATATGAGTCCATTCCTCATTTTTGCTTCCTTTGCGGTGTTGTTGGCCATGTGAACAGGTTCTGTCCCCGGAAGGAAGAGTTGGCCGGGCAGGAACCTCGCTACGGCAAGTGGTTGATTGCTAAGGAATTCGGTCCAAGGGTTAATGAAGGTACCTTGGCTCGTCGTCGCAAGCGTTATGTCTGGACTCTGGCGGGGACTCAGGGCGCTGGCCTGCAGACAATTCCTCGGCAGGCTCAGGAGACCGTCCCAGCGGTGGTGGAAGATGGGATTGCGCGTCCTAATCCTGTCCAGATAGGGATGGCATCGAGGTTGGGGCAGCTGTGTATCTCGGCAGCCTCTGCTTCACAGGAGGGATCCCCTTTGTTGTTTGCAGCGGCTGATGAATGCCCAGGGAAGGATTCTGCAGAACCACAGAGTAAGAAGCCACGCTTGGGGGCTCCAATCCAAGCGAATGATCACACAATTTCTGAGGTGGAGGCAGCCGGCCCTAATCGGTCCCAGCCTAATCCATGACGATCCTAGCTTGGAATTGCAGGGGATTGGGAGCTCCCCTGACAATTCCCACGCTCAAGGATACTTTGATCAAGGAAGCTCCTTTGCTGGTGTGCTTGAGTGAAACAAGGAATGGTGATGAATTCGTGATTGAACAGCTCGGCTTCCTCGGGTTCCCGGAGGAGCGTGTACATAGTGTTGCTAGGAACGGCAGCGGATTAGCCCTTGCCTGGTCTTCTCATCTTATTGTGTCCATCTCAGTAGAAGGGTCTGGTTTTTTATTTGTAGAATGTGAACATCAGTTCTTAGGGAGATTTGGTGTCGTGTTTGTTCACTTGCATTGCGATGTAGCCCATCGGCAGTTTCAACTTAATGAAATTTCATATCTTGTTGCGTCGTATGATGATCCTGTGCTAGTCCTAGGGGACTTTAATTGTGTGCTTGCAAGTGTTGAGAAACAAGGTGGACGTACTCCTACTCCTGCTGCCCTCTCCCAACTTAATTTGTTTTTGGATGCAGGGGGTTTGCAGGATTTGGGATTTATTGGTCCGCCGTTCACATGGACTAATCGGCAATCAAACGGTGACCACATTCAATCCCGACTTGATAGATGTTTGGTTAATAATGCTGTGCTTTCTCTGTGGCCAGATATCCAGGTTCATCATCTATCCGATAGAGGCTCCGATCATAGAATGTTGTTGATCAAGTTCGAGCATTCTGATTCCCGCCGCACTCGACGATTTCACTATGATTACCGCTGGAACACAAATCCAGCTGTGCCGGATCTTGTTCGCTCAGCGTGGGCTCAACCTGTATCGGGGACTGCACTGTTCAAAGTACAAACACGGTTGAAGAATACCCGCCACCGGCTGCTGAACTGGGCCAAGGACGGGACAACCAACTCTGCTAGGCAGATTCGTGAGATCAAGGGCGAGATTGATCTGGCCAGGGATGCTCTGACAGTCGACTGGGTACTTATTGGCCATATGGAAACTCGGCTTGGTGAGGCTTATAGACAGGAAGAATTGTACTGGAAACAGAAGTCAAGGAATCATTGGCTGCATGGTGGGGATGCAAACACGCATTACTTCCACTCGACGACGATGCAACGACGACGATCCAACTTCATTCCACAGCTGCGCGACGAACGAGGTGATCTTCATTCTGCCGAGCCAATTAAGGGGGGTATTTCAGTTTCATATTTTGAATCTCTGTTCAATTCGAATGGTGTGGACCCTTATGATTTTGTAAGGAGTTTAAATCTCCCTATCAGAATTTCAGTTGCTATGAATGAAAAGCTTACCATGCAGGTTACTCGTGAGGAAATTAGGCAGGCCATTTTTTCTATTGGACAGGGACAATCTCCGGGATCGGATGGGTTCACGGCAGGATTTTACCAACGGTTTTGGGCTGAAATAGGGGCGGATGTCTCGGAGGCCATTCTTTCCTTCTTCCAAACTGGTAGGCTATTACATAGCATCAACCATACGCTGCTGACTCTCCTGCCGAAGGTAACAAATGCAGACTCAATGAGACAAATGAGACCTATTGGCCTCTGCCAGGTTTTGTATAAAATCATTGCAAAAATTTTATCCACCCGGTTAAGTAACATTCTGCCATTGATTATTAGTCCTTACCAAAACGGTTTTATTCGAGGCCGCTGTATTACTGATAATATTCTTCTGGGCCAAGAAGTGATGCAGTTTCTGAAAACTAAGATTCGGGGTCACGACAAATGGATGGCTTTGAAGCTAGATATGGAGAAAGCTTACGACCGTGTAGAATGGGAGTTCCTCTTTCAGGTCATGCAGGCCTTCGGATTCTGTGAAAAGTGGATGACTTGGATTAAAGCATGTGTAACGACTGTTCACTTCTCAGTTCTTCTGAACGGGACTCAGTATGGCTTCTTTCAACCGCAGCGGGGTATACGTCAGGGAGACCCTTTGTCGCCATTGCTTTTTGCCATTTATACGGAAGGTTTCGCCTCTAAGATAGCTCAAGAGGTAGCTTCTGCATCTCTTCATGAATTACGCATCCACAGGTCAGCCCCTCCCTTATCTCATCTATTTTTTGCCGATGACTCATACTTGTTCCTTCGTGCCTCGATTCCTGAATGTGCCAACTTGCTGCATATCTTGTCCGAATATGAATTAGTCAGTGGACAGCGAGTTAATTTGCATAAGTCTGCAGTTTGTGTGAGTGGTAATGTTACTAACGAGGAGCTACAAGCAATTAGCTCTTTCCTAGGAGTTAGTGTTTTGCAGGCTGAAGACAAATACCTAGGGCTGCCCTCACAGATTGGCAGATCCAAATCGCTGACTTTTCAATTCATTGAGGAGGCCCTGGCTGCTCGGGTTCGCAATTGGAAGACAAAGGCCTTATCCTTGGCGGGTAAAGAAGTGGTGATAAAGGCTATTGGTGCAGCTGGCCCAATCTATGCGATGTCGGCATTCCGATTGCCCCAGGAAACCTGTCGTCGGTGCAATGGTCAACTGTCGAGATATTGGTGGGCGGGACAAGATAAGGAAAGGGGTATCCATTGGGTATCTTGGGGTGCTCTCTGTCAGAGTAAATTCAGGGGAGGCCTTGGTTTTCGGGATTTCAACAAGTTCAATATAGCTCTTCTGGCCAAGCAGGCATGGCGAGTCTTCCTCAACCCGTCCAGCCATCTTGCTCGCATTTACAAGGCCCGTTACCACCCGAATCATGAATTCCTGGATGCGACAGCAGGGTCTAGACCCTCTTGGGCATGGCAAGGCCTCTTGGAAGGGAAGGCTCTACTCAAACGAGGACTTCGGTGGCAAGTGGGAAATGGTTCACGGATCAAGGTACTGCAGGATGTATGGCTCCCTTCTACGCCTCCATCATGTCCTACATTGAAACCAGGTTCACCACCCTGTCCTCTTCTTGTCTCTGATCTCATCTGTGCTAACTCACATTTATGGAACAAAGCTCTATTGGAAGAGTTGTTCTCTCCGGAAAGTGTCGCTCTTATACTGTCTATCCCTTTGCCCACTGTTCACACCCATGACAGATTGATTTGGCATTACTCATCTTCTGGTGTATATACTGTTAAGACAGGCTATCATTTTTTGTCAACTGAGCATAATAATCTCCACCCGCCGCCTGCTCTTCCTTTTGATGACCGCTTTTGGAAACTGCTTTGGAGCCTTCCACTACCACCAAAACTGAAGTTCTTTTTCTGGCGTGTTGTCCGTGGGTTCCTTCCACTACAAACTGTCCTTTTCGCGAAGACTCTAGCCTCGGACTCGACATGCCCGATCTGTGATGCGGGATCGGAGTCCTTCCCCCACTTTTTCTTTGATTGCAGGGTTGCTAAGGGATTATGGCAGCTGGCAGGACAGGAACATCTTCGGGCGGCCTTGTGCGAACTGGAACCGGATGAGGCATGGCATCATTTGCTATTTGAGCAACACCTCTCCAAAACTGAGATTGCAGACGTTGTATTCCTCCTATGGAGAATTTGGAAAGCTAGGTGCTGGGCGGTTCACTCATACATCCAATACTTACCACAGGCCCTAATTCGTCAGCTACAACACCAGGTGAGCGAATGGAAGGAGGCAGCGGATGCAAGGCAGCCAGCTATACGCAATGCTACAGGGCGGATTTCTTCATCGTCGACAGGGCGAATTGGCCAGGGCGACTCGGCGACAGAAGCATCTTCTCTGGAAGTCATACATATTTGGTTTGATGGTGCAGCTAAAAAGAATCACGGTGGCAGCATTGGTTTCGTTGGCTTTCAAGGTACAAGTACCCTTCTCTTTGCTTTTGGCAAGGCATATTCCGACATATCTGATCCTTTTGTTATGGAATGTTTAGCTCTTAGAGATGCTTTACAATGGTGCTTATCACATGGTTTTGTTGTTGCCAAATTGCATGGGGATTCTCAACAATTGATTCAACGGATGGTGCGACGGGATTTCTCACATGATCGATGCGGAGCGATTCTCGAGGATACAAGAGAGTTGGCGTCACATTTCACCTTCATTTCATTTTGCTTTGTCTCTCGTCGACTTAATAGGGCCGCCCATCTTGTGGCACAAAAAGCCCTTTCATCGGGAGCTCGACGATTAGTCGACTCCCGCGCTCTTCTATCTTCTATGTATGACTGAACTGTTACCGCTAATTTTGACAAAAAAAAAAAAAAAAAATACCAATTGACTCAACAACCCAGGAGGCCAAGACTAAGCTTAGATTTGCCCGCATGGCATTTGCTAAACCAGCCAACTTGGAAAAAGAACGAAAGAAGAGTAGTTGGACTGAGATTATTTTTCCACAAAGAGGAAAAGTCGCCTTCCATTGCTTCAGACGCACCAAAAAAAATAAGAGACAAAGAGTCGGCTACGATTGTTGTAGGACGGAGAATTAACATCGCGGCTTGAGTGGTCGGTCGTCTCGTCAGATACGAAAACCAAAGGGAAGAAAAGCATGGCTGTGCAGTTCAATGGCAGCAGCTGTCTTGTGGCGAAATCAATCTCACCTGCGCTATCGCCGCCATTGCCGCCTGGGTTTCGTAAGTTGACCGGCGGTAAGTTTGGTGGTTTCGGCAAGGTGCGGCTAGTGTATGCAGTTGGCGCTGGAGCAGGGAGCAGCAGCAATGATGGAAGCATCAAGAAGAAGAACGTACCTAATTCCAATTATGTGGTGCCTCTCGACAAATCATTTTCTTTCTCCCAATCTTCTTGTATAACTCGGCCACTCGCCGAGATCTTACGTGATCTGAACAAGAGGATCCCGGACAACATAATCAAGCCTTCCCAACCTTCAACATCCATTCCATGGTATTGGGTTTTCCCAAATCTGCAGTTTGTTGGTGACCTTAGTATTCCTAAATCCCTAATACACCACCACTGATCTGTTCTTGTAATTGATCCTCTTTCATAGGTACCACGCCAACCGCATGTTAAGCTTCTATGCCCCAGGTATGCCATTGTTCTCTGCTTCTCCCTTTCATTTCATTCATGCTGCTATCTCATCATTCAGGCCTGATACATTCTTCATTGGCACTTAAAAATCAGGATTTAGTGTGCTTCACTCCTCTATTTGACCCTAACTTCTCCCTTATCAACAGTTTGTATATATACCCTTTCGTAAGTTTTGATGGTCACTTTGTAGTTCTAGTTCCTCAAATTTCTAAAGATGTCCGACCAGATGCCGCATACAATGCTTCCAAATGTTGAATTTGCAAACTTGTCACCTGCCTCTGCTTGTGCTTCTTGTTGAGTTCCTGTCTCTTTTGTGTGGGTCTGTTCCGTCGCAAATTGGCTGAGAACACAGCATATACTTGTAGCCTCTTTTACACCTTCAATTCGTTTCACTGCCAAGTTAGCATTCTGATGGTTTCTGTGATCCTATCCATGCTGGTGTGCAGCAGTACCATATATTGCCCATATGCTAAGTAGGGAGATAAATTTTGGTACTATATTATTGCTGGAAGATGCGCCTATATGTGGTGATAGTTGACACAGTTATCCTGCAGAAATTGTAATCTTTTGGTCTCTAAATCGAGCTGTTTCTTGTTTGCGCTTTAAGTTATCTTTTGTTAAGGCAGACTTTAGAATTTCTTCACTACGTAATAATGACATTGTTGATTGCCAATTGGATAGGATGGTGCGGAGAAATAAGGGATGTTATATTCTCAGACAATGGTAGTGTTACTGTGGTTTACCGTGTTACCATACGCGGATCCGACGGAGAGGTATGATTCTGATTCCTTGTACTGTACTTACTATGCGTTATCTGCCCCTTTCTAGCTGTGTGGCAAAATTGGCGATTGGTTAAGTATCAAGGATACCAGCCAACGGCACTACTTGTTGTCAGTATACTAGGTTATACTTTGAATGGTGTTCTGGTTCTTGGCTTATAACAGCAGTTGATGACAACCTTCTTAAGTGGTTTTGGTTTATAACCTATAGGGACACCGATTAGCTCCTTCCTTTGCCTCGTGAAAAATGTAATTCATAGAAGTACCAATAGGGCCACCTATGAGCTCCTTCCTTTGCCTTGTGAGAAATGTAATTCATAGATGACAATCTGAATGCCGAATGATGGACTAATCCTAGGACTAAAAGTAATGCATATAGTTCAGGATGTGTTCTGTACTTGGTGTAGGTGGTAATTGAATATTATACGTGACCTGCCAAGTTTGGAGTTAGGACCTGATGTTTGTTCTTCATAGTTCTGTGAATTACTGGTCGTTATTGATCCTTGGGCTGCTTTGAACATTTATGGAATAACAATGAGGAGCTTCACTAAAAGGAAATTGGCAATAGGTACCTGAGAGGTAGAAGGGAAAAAATGAATCACAAATGTGGATTGGCGATATTGCAATGAAATACTTGGCTAAGGAAATTCAGAGAAGTCTGCGGTTTCCTTTTGGCTGACTGATGTAATATGTTACTGATGCAGGCACACCGCGAGTCAAGTGGCACAGTGTCACCGATCGATGGCGACATTGCTGATCCTGTAGCAGCAGCTGAAGAAATAGCTTTCTGCAGAGCGTGTGCTAGGTTTGGACTTGGCTTGTATCTATACCATGAAGAATAGAGAGTAGCCCCGCCAGGCCATGTGATAGATGAGGGTGTGATGTATGTCTGAGTCCTTTATTATTACTATATTGTACACATTACTGATCTCTCGGGACTCAGCCAGCCAACAAACGTAAATAACTTGAAAGAAATGGTCACCTTTCAAATGTTCATTGATATGTTCCAGTCCATTGTGCCTGATTTTAGTACAAGGCTGATAGAACTTGAGTACGAGCTCTACCGGTTGATTAGGGATTAGGATCAACTAGGGATTGATCCGGCTAATTGGGAAATGGGAAGGAGAGGTGAATTTGGGAATTGATCAGAAGAAGAGAGGAGGAGAGAGTTGCTGCCATCGGCAGCCAAGGAGGAGAAGAGGAAGAGAGTTTCGGCCGAGGCAGGGAAGAGAGAGGGAGATTAGGCAAATAGGTTTAGGTTTAATCTTGCTTAGTGGCCTAATCCCACTTACAAGTAATTTATATAATAAATTGCTAATTCTCTACTGCTACCCGACATATAATTTATTCCCCAATTCCCGAAATAGTCTCAATAATCCGAAATAAAAACAATCCGATAAGTAATTAAAATGCTAAATACTAGTTTCTATCATCCCCTCTTCCTTCGGAAACAACCTTGTCCTCAAGGTTGGTCCTCTAACTCACTAGGTCTCCTTCTCGCCATTCTCGTCGTCCTCTACCTCGTCCTCTGCTTCATCCTCCCATCGCCCAACTAGCATCATCAAATCCGGCTTCAGACACTGGTGCCCGATGGTGAATCGACCATCACAATTGAAGCACTTGCCCTCCTGCCTCTTCTGCTCAATCTCGGCCTGTGAGAGCCGGTAGAACCCTTTTGGTATGGGCCGAGACCGTCCCCTGGTCACTGGTGCAGGGTTCCCGCTCCCGGCGCTCGCCCCTACTACATTTCCCGCCGCTGCTCCTCCTCCACTGCCTTCGCTCCCACTACTGCTCCCCCCTCCACTTGGCCTAGTGTAACGACCAAGGGTACTCCTCCAACTAGCAAGTTCTTCTTCTTTGTGACCTGCAAGACGAAAAGCAGCCTTCAAAGAACCCGGCTTGAATACCCTGACTGCCGCCGCTATCTCGGGTTTTAGGCCCGCCATGCATAGCCCCACTAGGGTGTCCTCGGGAACTCCCTTGCACTGGTTCCTCAACTTGAAGAACTCTGCGCGGTAGGCAGCCACCGAACCAGTCTGCTTCAGCTTCGCGAGCTGCTCTGGAGCCCACCCTTCTGATTTCCCGAACTGGTAACAGAGCTCCTCCTGGAACATGGGCCAGTTGATCAATGTCGTGGCGGCCGCGTACGATCGCTCCATCCACTCCCACCACTGAAGCACATCACCTTCTAAATAGAAGGACGCCAGGTAGGCCTTCCGTTCCTCAGGAATTGGGTGCAGTGGCGTAGCCAGGATTTTATGTAAGGTGGGTCCGAATTTTTTTATATTGCAAGAAAAATTTGAGTCATTGTAGTTAGGGTTGTACATGGGTCGGTTGGTTCGGGTTTAACCATTTTAATCACCCGACCCATGCACTACGGTTAGGAAAATATTAAACCCAAACCCAACCAAAAAAATTAAAACCCTACGGTTTGTTTTCAATTGGGTTGGATCGGGTTGGCGATATTTGTAAGTAAAAACCCAACCCAACACAAAATATGTAATTATTCTACACCATAAAAATATTTTTATAACTAATTAAAATTTCAAACGAATAAACCGTGGTGAAAGGTATCGAAATTCACAAATGTTGTTTGAATTTTAATAAAATATAATTTACTTCAACATATGTCTATAATTTTTTTCACAATATTTGTTTAAATAGGCTAAATAGGTTATAAACAAACACATCCATAATACGTTATTCTATTAAAATTGTACACAAGAAAAGAATTACGTGAATCATAGCTATATTAAATCTATGTCTAAATTTTAGGCCGATGAATGCATTAGATTAGGGAAACCATGGGAGAAAAACATATCAAAATATCTTAATTTTCTTATAAGTATGGCTATATACGACATAAATAATTTTTGTACACGAACTCATACTAATAGTTGGAAACACGGGTTGGGTCGGGTTCGACGGGTTGTGTAATCCAAAATCCAAACCCAACCCAAAAGAGGCGGGTTGTACAGAAGAAAACTCTCACCCAATCCAAAACCTTAGTTTTAGAGATAAATACGGGTGGGTTGGGTCGGGTTGGACGGGTGGGTCGGTTTGCGGGTGTATTTGTTCACCCCTAATTGCAGTGCCCCATAATCTGTTCTCACATATTGACGAACTTGCATTCATATGATATCGATGTCAATATACCTTATAAAATAATCACTCATGATTTTGTCACCCATTAGATACCAAAGAGTGTTTTCACGTGGCTCATTGAAAATGTCATTTCAATACTTGTAGTGGAGCCTTAGTTAACAACAACAATAAGTTACTTCTTTCAATTACCATGATTCGAAAAATAACTCCTAATTCTATATAGTTTTAGACAATAGCTAGCCTATATTCACGTCAAAGTATACATATAATAATATAGTTGATGTTTAAAACCTGATATATTGAATTTATTATTAGGATAAAAAGAATCTAGCGAGTTTTAACAAAAGAATGTTTGGCGAGATATAATGAATAAACCTGAAATGGTTGAACCACGATTAAACCACGTTTTCAATATAAAATATCCTACCATTGACTTGTCCAATGTAACTTTTGGTACAATTTTTAATCTAATCATTTAGGCGTACATATTTTCTCCCGAGCCAAGGTAGGTCCCGATACCCACCTCAGTATGCACTGGCTCCGCCACTGATTGGGTGGTTCTGAAACCACCTCTCAGCTGCATATAACCAGAGACCTGCATCCTCTTGTCCATTGAATTTTGGAAACTCAATGGTAGGAGGCTTAGCTCGAAAGACTATCCCATCAGTACCCTCATAACTAGGATAGCTCGATCCATACCTATCGTTCCCTGGGGCCCTCCATGGCTGCCCCTGTGAGAATCCATGCCCCCTGCTCGGGTTTCCTGAGCCATAGTACCCCTGGTAGCCTCCTTGCTGGTCCGGATATCCCCCAGGAACGTCGTGCGGCCCATACGAGGCTCTCCAACAAGCCGATCCTCTGATGTCCGCGGCCTAGGCGACTGGTTGGTTGGGTTCGCTCGATGTTCGGTCTGACCCACCTCGGGCCGACCACTGCTGGCCCAACCGGGCCCGGGCCGACCTCCTTCGGGTTGACCACTGCTGGCCCGATCAGTATGGTCCACCCAGTCCCGGGCCGCCCAACCGGTTCAGCTACTCGGCTCGGTCCGCCACCCCTCTGATTCACCCTGGGATCGGCCCACTACGCCGAACGACCCATCAGGCTGAACTCGCCCTCCTCGGGCTCGTCCCCCAGGTCCACCAATCTCGGCCCAATGGTGCTTCTTGCGATCTGATCCATCATCATGGGCCCAACAGTCTCCGGTGAGCCTTCCGTGTCATAGCCGGGCATCTTGCCCTTCCCTTTCCGGCCGCCAGCTCTTGGGCCGACGGTGTAGGTAACAGGCCAGGCCCGCCACCCTGACCTAGCCTGCCGTGACCCGCACGCTCCGGAGTCGCCGTCGGGCCTCCCGCGCCACTCACCACCGGCGCCGCCTCCGACACCGCCGTCGGAGCGGCTGCCGCCGCTGCCCCGCCAATCGCGCCGCTGCCTCCAACACCGCCGCCGGAGCGGCTGCCGCCGCTGCCTGCCCCGAGCTCGCCGGCGTCGCCGTTCGCCGCTCCTCCACGCGCGCCGCCGGCCCGCCATCCTCACCTGTCGTCGGCCGCCATCGCCCCCATGCATCTCCACCATCAAGATATGGAGCGGATCGAGTCGGCTCCACACCCGCCGGGATTCCTCCAGCCGCTCCTGGCATTCTCGTTCCACCAGATCCACGAGGACGTCAAGGCGATGTTGCGCCGCCTCCTGATCAGTCAGGTCCTCCAACTCGCCATCCACCGGGCCGCGCGGAGCAGTGAGGGGAGGCCTCCCATGCGGAGCCTTAGCCGAGGGTTGCCGTCGGTCGGCGCCGCCTGGTTGACCTCCGGCAGGCCGCCCGCCGCCGCCGCTAGCTCCTGCGCCGCCGCTAGCTCCTGCGCCGCCTTCTCAGCCGCTACCTGTGACTTGGTGGAGACCATGATGCCAGTCGAAGGAAGGATTGGCTCTGATACCAATTGATAGAACTCGAGTACGAGCTCTACCGGTTGATTAGGGATTAGGATCAACTAGGGATTGATCCGACTAATTGGGAAATGGGAAGGAGAGGTGAATTTGGGAATTGATCAGAAGAAGAGAGGAGGAGAGAGTTGCTGCCGTCGGCAGTCAAGGAGAAGAGGAAGAGAGTTTCGGCCAAGTCAGGGAAGAGAGAGGGAGATTAGGCAAATAGGTTTAGGTTTAGGTTTAATTTTGCTTAGTGGCCTAATCCCACTTACAAGTGATTAATATAATAAATGGCTAATTCTTTACTGCTACCCGACATATAATTTATTCCCCAATTCCCGAAATAGTCCCAATAATCCAAAATAATAACAATCCGATAAGTAATTAAAATGCTAAATACTAGTTTCTATCAAAGGCTGGCCACAAGGAAACTTGTAGTTAAATGAACCATGGAAAGCAGCATGATTGTACACCAATAAATAAGCACAAAGGAAACAGTGGTTGATGAGATGGGAGGATTGATTCATTCTTCTTCAAAGCATTTCATTCCAACAAAATGAAAGACGGCACAAAAGAAGAAAACAGGGACAGAGGGCCAATGATGCAATGCCCAGACCGGGACCACCACGCTCAATTGGGAAATTCAGGAGGCCAAGGCTTAGTTCAACCAAACTGTGGAGTATTGTAAAATGAGCTGTACCACTTATTTCTGGAGATTATATTGAACTGCAGAATTGGCTGAAGATCGAGTGAGAGGGATTTTGGAGAAAGCATAGGTGGTGGGGCGGAGGAGGAGAGTGCAGGTTCAGAACTATCCCTGGGATGGTAGTAGGGATGGATATTGGATAGTGTAGATAGTTTGAGCAATGGTGAGGGCAAAGAGGAAGACGGCGGCAGCAAGGGAGTGGATAGCCCAAGGGCTTCTGGGAAGTCAACCACCGCAAACAGGTCTGACTTCTGAGGCCTCCGCCTTTGAACGAGATGTCTCTCAGGCTTCCAGTTGAACTTTTCCTGAACCGGCTTTCAGCTTTGTTCAGCTCCGTGTCTATATGGCGAGATGGGAAACTGATCAAATAAGAAAGAGGAAGAAGTAAGTTTGTCAGGAAATCTCGAGTGCATGTTTGTCAGGAAATTACGTACGTAATCCGGCGAGTTTGAGGATTACTTTGCTTGGTACGGAAGCAAAATTTAAGTGATCAGCTCACCTCCCTGCAATCCAATGCAAAACTCCAAATTTGGGATCTTCATCTCCAAATTTGGTGATTAATCCCCATTTTCTCTTCTTTTGCTCCAATATTTCAATCTCCATATTTGGGGATCTTAATTTTTCCAATTTTTTCATTTACTTAAAAATATACTTATCGAAGCCTTAATATAATTTGTTCATGTTAATTTTTGTATAGTTCGTCGTCATTTTTAAATACAAATTTTTCGATAGAATTTTGTTAAATTCCGAGACCCAATTTTTTTTGGCGAAAAATTACAGACCTAATTTGAGTTTACACACAACCCTTGAAAATTATTGATCTAATTAAAATCCTAACTAATCCCCTAATTAAACCCCAATTAACCCCTAAAATCTTAAAAAGCAAAAGAAAAGCCACGTGGCGGGCTTTGGTGAGTTTCTATATTTGGGGAACCCCATTTCCACCCCAAATTTGGGGATCCTTTTGCAGATCTCCTTCAAATATAGAGACTCCTCCATTTATAGAGACTCCATTGAAGCCAACTTTTTCCCAAATATAGAGACTCCGCCATTTATGAGATTGGGCATTGTCCATAACGTCAAACATAACCTAGTTAGATCAAAATAATGAAACCCATGAAAGCCAAAACTAAAAGAATGACCTTTCGTAGTCAGCTGCCTTGTTATACCAACTCTTTCAAATACACTTTTTACTTCTTACTCAAGTAATGCTCGAGAGAGAGAGAATAGAAAATCGACTAAAGGATTTCTCTTAGTCACCAGATATAGTCCGCAAAGCAGGGATTGAAATAATGAGCGACCTTCATCAAAAAAATGAGCGACCTTCATAAAAAAAAAAAAAAAAAAAAGAAATAATGAGCGACTTCCAACAGAAATATTTTTACTATATCTTGCTATAGTTCATAAAAGACATTACTTGGAACAGCAACTGCCGGGTGGGGAAAACTGTCAATACTAACTCGCTCATGGTGTTGATTTCTCATGATCCTAGTCAGTTTTACCTTGATTGCCACGTAGGGATGGAGACGAATTGCCAACGTCAGCAATACCACTTGGATCACTTGCAACCTTTGCAAATTCAGAGGAGTACTTTCTAATCCTCAAGGAGATGATAATGCTAGATGCTATTCCAAGCAAGGGAAACAAATATGACCAAACCTTAGATCTCTGAGAAACAGATGCAGAAGCAACAGCAGCACCAGCAAGGCTGCCAATGGATGTATTCTGCAGAATCATAGGCAGGCACCCAACCACTGTAGGGAGCAGAAAGTCCACCAAGAAGCCAACTCCAGTGGCAGCCAGAGCATAGTTTATCATGTAAGAGGGAACAGGTGAGAAGCGTGCCAGAAGGACAAATCTCCAACCATCTCGCTCAACTCCCCTTGAAAGGAGATGGAAGTATTTATTCCTCTGCACCCACCCAGCTGCTGAGCTTGATCTCCTAAAAACTAGCCTGAGCAAAATCATAAACACCGTCACGACAAAAAGATAGATTCCCCGTAAGTCATATAAATTAAGTTAATCAATTGGACTGACAGACAACCTGACTGATGGGTGGAATCATATCACAAAGTCATGAAAACACTACATAGTTTGACTTTGGAGTGCATCACCAAATACTACAAGTAGCTACTTCCGGTAGAGAAAAGAAATACTGGTATCTGTGCCCTAAAGTATAGTATTGGACCTGAACAACGTACATATCGTTCCAAGAGAATTATAATCTGATAACTAAGGACTGGCAACATCATACTAGTTACGAGTGAGAGCAATTCATATTGGCACAGGGTATGGAAGTCAACGCTCAACAGAACAACATAGACACCTCGAGCTATTGACTTTGAAAGAGGGAGGGAGTACCAGGGTTGATGCGGATTACAGATCTGCAGTGGAATCACTGGCTAATGTGTGAACGTGGAGAAAGGCAGTGGTATGACTGCTGAATCAGGTTTTGATTTGTGGTATACAATGTGGAGTCAGCAGTCATAGGTTACAATGTAGGGTTCTAAACTCTCAGCACTGCACATTGTATACCACAAACCAACACCCTGAATTGGGCAGAGGTGAAAGAACCACCAGGATTGCATAAGCGTGGGATATGAGGCAACCTAACTCTCTCCCATATATCCTTTCTAAGAACCCTAATTACTTGGCTTTGGCCAACATTTCAATGAAGCAAATCATCATCAACAACAATGCTCGTTGCTGTCATTCGGTCATTTCATATTCCTTCTCCTAGCAACCATCAAATCCATACTCTACTACTTTCACCAGATCAGCTCTTCGCTATCAATATCAGTTGAGCAAACACAAACCTAACTCAAAATGAAAGTGAGTAGTTGTTTGATTCCTACGCACCTGCCGATCCAAAAGGACAGGGAAGCTCCCAAGATTTTGGCAGAGAAAACGCAGAGAAGCGCCGGGAAGAAGCCGAACAGGAGAGAAGCAGCCGCCTCGAAGAAAACGGCGTAGGGCAAGCAGAGAGCGAGGGTGAGGGTGTGAACCGCAACGTACAGAGGCATGGCCCAAATGCCCAGTCGATCGGACCATTGAGCTAAGAGGTGAAGTGCAGCGTCTTTGTCCCAGCCAAAACGAGAGCCGAATTGCTTGTTTCCGATAACTATTCCCAGGAGGACGATCAAAACGCCGACCGTCCACCGCCTTCCCATTTCTCTGCTTCTACTGTGATTTAGGAGTGATATTGACTGCGGCTACTGTCTTCTCTCCTTCCGCAGCGGACGGAGTGGCCAACTTGGTGATGATAGACTGAGCCAATTGTTGGTTCTTCTGGAGAACTTCTGGATTCTGTATCCCTACGGACTTACTGGGAAGAGGCCATTTGCTTTCGCAGATCATGTGTTTCTCACTTGGTAAAGGAAACCGTACCGGACATCATATCGGATTCCTTTCTGGTAGGGTATTTTGTGGTACGAACGTGGTCCAACCGTTTCATCCGGTAAATACCGTTTTTGTAATAATAAAATATATTTTTTGTCAAAAAACCGTGCCGCCAAAATCAGGATATCGTCTCGGAGTAATACCGGATATATCGGAATGTACCGGATAATAAATGAATAAATACAAGTAGTTAGCAAATTAATAGGAAAAGAAGAAATTTTAAATAATAATTATTTTTTATAAAAAACTTTTCCATCATTTAATAGATTAATACGCGTGCATTTAACCCTTTCCCCATCTACCATCTTCTGTTCTTCCTCCCATCTCTCTCCCCCTCTCTCTCTCTCTCTCTCTCTCATATCGTCGTCGCTCCCGATTCCACCACCATCGCCTTCCTCTCCCTCACCGGCCTCGCCTTCCCACCACCGCCGTCGAATCCGGGGAGGTACAAGCAGAGCGCGCCACATTTGAATTCGTCTTCGTCGAGATCCACCTCATGTTTCTTCTTCCTAGCCATCGGTGAAGAATTGGTGTCGAAATCGGTGGTCGATTGGTCCGGATTCTTGAACCACATGTCGAGCTCGTCGGCGGCGCTCGATCTCCCTTCGGCGCATGACTTGCTCCGCCGCATGTGAATCTCCTGTTCCAGCGCTCGATCTCTCCTAATTGATCTCCCTTTGGCAATTTTCAGTATTCGAACGATGACGTTTTCTTTCCAATGAGCCTACCGCCGATTAGACAAAAACCGGGCGGTTTTTTCGTTTGTACCGATTAAGTCGGAAAAAGAGGCCGGTACGATATTTTGAAGCAAACGAGCCTACCGTATCGTTATTGGTCCGATTTTTGGTTTTACCGGTTCAACCGGCCGGTACGATCCGGTTTCCTTTACCATGGTTTCTCAACGTTGTCTAAGCGGTTTATACGGTTACCGGTTTAGCAACTTGTACGGTCCAACCAGGGCATAACCGATTTATATATCAGGCTTAACAAAATATAAGTGGAACACTAAGGGTGCGTTTGGATACAAGGATTTGGATTTGGTATTTGTGATTTGGATTTTCAAATACCAAATCATGTGTTTGGATATTAATTACATTTGGTATTTAGATTTGTGTCAAATTCATGGGGTGATTTCCAAATACATGTCTAGTGTATTTTTTGTCAACTTCAAATACATTTCAACAACTAGTGATTTGAAATACCTCCTAACAAAAGAATGGACCTATTTGTAAAATATTAAAAGTTTAGGTACTATAGTGTGAGGCAAAACATATAAAGGTACCAAAATGTAAGTTTACCATCAAAATTTCAGGACCTTTTTGTAAAATTTTAAAAGTTTAGGTACTAAATTGTAAGAAAAAATAATTTTGGGTACCAAACTGTAATTTACCAAAATTTGTAGTAAGTGACCAGAAAATTAAAAATTGAAATTGAAAATCATAAATACAAAAATACAAACAAATTACAAATGAGTATCCAAACAATGAATTTGAATTACATGTATTTCAAATGCTAATACTTCAAATACATCCATTTCAAATGCTAGTATTTCAAATACCTTACATTTAAAATACACTTATCCAAACGCACCCTAAATGAATTGTGTATTCATATAATTTATTTTTAAATAATTTACTTAAAAAATTATTTAATGTCAACATCCAAACATTATACTTGAATATAATAGATGACATCAAGACAGAGATTAAGGTGCTAACACTTTTGTTAGCAACATGCTAACATTAATTCCAGCCGATAAGAAAATTTTGTTTTAGTGATTATTTTATTCTAAGGGATTAACCACAATTAGAAAGGAAGGGACATACTTGTCATTATATAAATTAGGGAGCACACGCATGTGGTCCTATTTGTAAAGTTTAAAATTTATATATCAAAATGTAATACATAAAATTTTAGGACTTATATGCAACAAAATTAACTTTACGAGTGTGTTGCAGTACTGGATGGGGATTTTCTTGCTACCAAAATATGTTATAAAAGAAGTGGAGTCTATCTGTAGCCACTTTTTGTGGGATATTGACGAAACCTCATTGAGAAGAAGAGCAGTGACTGCATGGCAGTTCATTGCAAGGCCTAAAAAAGAAGGAGGGTTGGGTATAAGAAATTTCTCCATCTGGAACAAAGCTTGTGTTTGCAGGCACCTTTGGGCGCTCCTGGCAGCAGAGGGGTCTATTTGGGTTGCGTGGATCACAAGATATAGGATAAAACAGTCATCTATCTGGGATTTGAAGGAGAGTGCAGCAGGGAATTGGATATGGAAGAGGCTATTAAAGTGTAGACAACTGGTGAGGCCTCATATCTCTGTGGTACATTCTGAGTTGCAGTGGGATGGCTTGGTTATGTGCCCCTACTCTGTTTCGAGGGTGTGGGAGTCATTAAGGCAGAAAGAGAATGAGGTTAATTGGTGCCATCTGGTTTGGGATAAGTATGTTATACCTCGACATGGATTCATTGCGTGGTTGGTGATAAATGATAAACTAAAGCTTCAGGACAAACTTATTGCATGGGGGAAACCATTATCTGGGTGCTGTCTGATGTGTCCTGGAGGTGTGGAGACTCGGGACCATCTGTTTGTTCACTGTTCTTATATACAGTACTTATATATGCGTGTGCTGGGGGTAGCTTTGCCTCCTGTGCTTGATAGTTGGGGTTCCATGTTGAATTGGTGTGTGCAACAGTGGAGTGCTAATACTACTGTGAACTCCCTTAACAGAATGTGTTGGAGTGTTTTGATTAGCCTTGTGTGGAGGGAGAGGTGTGCAAGGATGTATGGTTCTGCTGCGGCGAGGAGTCCTTTGCAGCTGCAGAGTGTTGCTCGAAGATTCATTCGAGGGAGATGCATTTTGAACCAAACTTTGATTGACTGTTTTGTTGAAAGGGGGCTTGGGGTAGATAGGTAGCTATCTTTTGATTTTGTGATTACCATTTGGGTTTGATGTACAGGGACTGTTAGTTTGTGAGGGCTCCATAGCGATTTGCTATTGGTGCTGGGGTTTAATGCAATTTTGATTTAACCATCAAAAAAAAAAAAAATTAACTTTACGTACTAAATCTTATATTTTATTAAGTTTAAGTATCAAACTGTAATTTGCATATGGAATCACAAGTTTCTTAAACCTGACCACAAGTTCCTTGAAGTATACTAGAAAGTCATAAAGCATACCATAAATTTATTAAAGCAGACCACAAAGTTTCTCGTTAATAGATATCTTATCCCTCAGCAACTGAAGTTAGATGTAAACAAGACTAATGGTGGAGGCGACGATGTGACGGTAATGGTGATTAATTACGACAATCGATTATGGGGCAATTTGTGAGAATAGGTGAAAGCATTCACTATGTTTGGGATGGGGGTAAATGGGAGGGGAGCAAGTTTTGAGGTAAATGTATTTTCCAATCTATTTATTCTTATTTGGATAATTTTGAATAGTAATAGGGGTGCAATTGGAGGACAAAAACACTATTCTCATTAACCTCTAATTTGAAGTGCAAATGGAGAGAAAGAGTGGAAGAATGGATAAAAGGTAATATTAGTATATTTCATTGTGTTTTTATGTATGATTATGTTCTATAATTGTTGACTAAAAAATATCATGTAATCATTATACTATAATAATATTACAATAGTAAAAATAATTATTATAAAAATTAAATAAAAACAATTAATAATATTTGTGTTGATTCCGTAAGACATTATTTGATATCCGATGAGAGTTTGTCCAATCGACTCCAACTGTTGACTCGGTCCAACGAGTGGGTCAAGCTTCGTCTAGCCGAACTGAGATATGTTGGTTGGCTCATATTATCTAATCAAATAGTTAAAACTTACATGTTCGAATGTGTTTGACTAAGTTTGACCATATCCAATTTAAAGATAAACTGGCCACGGGAACCATGTAGGATGACCATTTATGGTTAAACCCGATTTGATAATACTCCCGATTTAATCATCATTTCGACAAATCAACACCCGAGTGGGAGACATGAGCTAGCTATATGTCTTGGCCATGGATTGAGCTTCGAGCATACTCATTCAAGCTTGTTCAACCAATTATGATTTTTATGGACCCAAGAATATTATTTATAGTTTTTATAATTAATTACTACTTGAGCATTAATATTTTAATATTATTTTATTAAATTATTTTTATTAAAATTATTTATTTTATTTCATATTTATTTATGTGTGTGAATATTTTGTGATTATTTTTTATTAATTTAATAAGTCTATTATATAATAATATAATTTATTTACTTTTCACTCTATTTGCACCCTCTACTTTTTCATCAAAACAACAATTTACCCTTCCACTTACACTCCCACCAGTCTACACCCCCTGCAATTTACCTCTCAAGTAAAATTCATGGATGCACCACTAATAATCTTGTCAAAGCAATTGTGTGCATCAATTATTTGATAAAAAATATATTTATAAGTCTATAAATTTGTCTTGATATGTTGAGAACTAAGAAAGAAGAGGTCTCTTCACATAAAATTAAGAGGTCGTTTGGATGAAGTATTCAGTAAGCTATTTGAGTTCAACTAACTTACATTAGCTATTGTGACCAAAATAACTAATTTGACAGCATTTTACTTAAATAAGTTAATTACAAATAACTCAAAAATCGAGTTATTTCGAAATAACTCATTTTAACCCTTTGTTTTTGTCAAAGACCACATATATATGGTTCTACCAAACAATATACTTTAATCCAGTTACCACTAGAATAATACTAAAATACCAAATGAACAATTATTTGTATGAGTTAATTGAATAGGTTATTTGTATGAGTTATTTTGGCCCAAATAACTCGCAATAAGTTATTTTTGTCTAAATAGACTTCAAAGCGAGTTATTTGGGCTAAAATAGACTTCAAATTGATGAAATTAGTTATTTTGGGTCAATGTTATTTTGAAATAACTAAAAACGAGTTTATACTTTTGATCCAACACTATCAAGATATCAAGACTATAAAATAAAATGTTTACTCTGATGCAATTCTATAATTAAATTCCTTGCTGTGGTATGGCTTGTTACCGCTGGTGTGTTTTTGCAGCAGGCCTCAACCCTCAAGTTGAGGGCATTATATTAGAAGTCTGAAGATGGTAATCATTATGTGAGGGCAATAAATTAAGGACATCATGGTATTTACACATGTATGTCACCAAATACCGTTATGAAATAACTCATTGTCTTGTTTCATCCAAACGAAATAACTTAAATCTTAAATTTTCCAAAAAACACACAAATATTCGGTGTTATTAAAGCCGAGCGGAGTCGCTCGGCCCGACCGATAAAACCACCACCCGTTCACAAAATCGGCTCGGAATAGTCTAAAAGCCGCTCCGATTTTATGTAGCGGTTGGCGAGCGGCCGAGGCGGTTAACCGTTCGAGCCGCTCGTCCGGTTTTTGCCATTCAGCCACTAAATTTAATTAAAAAAATTGCAGAAAATCGAAAATTTAAATAAACAAAAAATGTCGGGCTCTCAAACTGAATCCTTATTTCCATTTCACAATTTCGAAGGAAAGAGATGAGCTCTGATTAAGAAATGTCCACTTTTTATACTGATAACGTTTATTAGGTACCGGTTCTCTAACGGTTTTTAAACGATCTAATGCCGGTTGGACCACTAAAGTGCGAGCCGTTCGCATTACCGGTTCATGTTCCGGTTCGGTTCTGACAACATTGCAAATATTACATGAAGAGAAAATGAGTTATTTGATTTTACAAATACCACATTGTGAATTAACCCATTCAAACGATCTCTAAATTAATGAGTTATTGGACTCTACAAATACCACATTGATAATTGACTCATTTAACGGAAGAAAAAAAGAGTGAAGTCAACTATATTCCAGGGAAGGAAATAGAGAAAGAACTGTTTAATTAGATACGTTAAGTTGATTCAGTCAAGGTGGGATTCAACATAACTAGCTGAAAAATATAAGCACACGTCTGACAGAAGTGTCACAACAAATCACAAATGAATATAGCTCTCGATATGCAGCGAGAGCGAGAGGAGCCCACCGCGGGTACATGGACATAGAACTGCTGCTACTAATACTACTCGTCCCAAACCTGCACCCAACTACTGTGACTGCCTTGGAAGGCGATGCCTTATCAAGTGACGCTCTTCCACCAGCTCAAAATTGGCAGCTGAAAAGTCATTGCTGGAAAAGAAAGGTTCCAAATCTGTAATCCCCCTTTCTTCGGCCTGCACAATGTGAATCACGTCAATCTCCACCTTACAGAGATTCGACTCATTCAAACTTCAATTCACCATAAAAACAAGACACGTTCATAGAAAACTGGACAGAAGCACTCTATTGAGCGCTTTCCTTTTAATCCTTACCATGCTTTGGAGATCCTGTCTCTTCACATCGATATGGCTAAGCCTTGAGGTTGAACCAGACACGATCTCTTCAAAGCGCAGGGCTTTGCTCACAAGCTCCCTCAGAAGATTGAGAAGCATTCTATTGTAGTCCATCTTGTATGTGATGTACTTCCTGAAACTCTGGAATACGAATTCCAGCAATGACAGAAGGATTGAGGCCCCAAAACAAAAGGAAATGGATATGAAGAAGACTCTGCAACAATCTTGATCATTTACCTTCTGCAAAGCCCTCTGCACCCCGTACTTTTGAGTTGATATGAATGAATTCAAAAGAACTCTTATGGCCATATCCACATCTTCTTCTGTCACATACTGTCTGAGATGCATTCTAGCATGCGCCTCAGACATCCTTATCATAGATTCAATGTGCCTTACTGCTACGGGGACTCCTTGCCCGTGCTGCCATTCCAACAAGAAAATACGAACATATTGTCAATTGTTGTATTAGACGTCATTGAAATAATATAGAAGCACAAGCACCAAGCTCCTCACCGAAGATTCCTTTCTGAGTTCAGCATACACTTGGGTTAGCTTTTCCATATCTGAGTCGTGCAGCCTAGGGAAGATGTTAAGCTTTGCATAGGATATGTATTTCTTCAGTAAATCTTGAGGAAGAATATAAGAGAATGAACAATTAAAAGATTAGATAAAGTGAAATTAGATGGACAGAAAGGTGAAAACTCCACCAGACAGAAAAACCATCGGGATCTAGAATTGGACAGACCTTTGGATCAGTGGGGGATGAAGTGGCTTGGTTGTCTGCTTGGGACTCGTTCATGGACCGATCATCCATAGCAGCACCCTTAGGTTGCGACTTGAAATGACTATCTACAACTAATTTTGCAAGCATCTCATCTGCTACAGGATCCACAATATCCTGCAATCATTGTTGAACTTGTTTCTCAGTCACCCTGAATTAGTATAGATGCAAGCTAAGAAATATCAACCCACGCGAAAAGTATTACCTTGACGACACATAGGATGTCAAAACGAGAAACAATTGGATCTGTCAACTCAACATTTTGCCCAAATGTCTTCGATGAATCATATCTGGGAACAGAGTCAAGTTGAATAGACTTTCAGAACATTTATCATTCACAGTAACTAAACGGTCAAGCAGGCACATATGAGGCAAGGAAATGTGGGGTGGAAAATTCTGGAATAACAGAATGAGGAAACAGAAAGGAAATCTCCGACAGCTTCCTCTTTCAAATTAGCTTATTTATTGGCTTATCATACGAATCCCCACACACACCTTCCTCCAATAGGATTTGCAGCAGCAATAACAGAACATCGAGCTTGAAGAGATGTAACAATCCCAGCTTTTGAAATGCTAATACTATGTTGCTCCATTGCCTCATGTATGCTCACCCTGGTCACATAGCGTTAGTTTAATTAACACTCAGCTGAGATGATCCACCACCACAGATTTGGATCAAGTTCCCTTACCTGTCCTGGTCATTCATCTTGTCAAATTCATCAATGAGTCAGATACCTTTATCAGCTAAAATAAGGGCACCTCCTTCAAGTGTCCACTCTCTCGTCACTGGATCTTTGTGGACTGCTGCTGTAAGACCTACTGCAGAAGCTCCTTTACCGGTAGTATAGACAGCCCTCTGCCCCGTCTTCTCCACATACCTTTATGGAGAGAAGGAAACCATAAAGTGACATCCATACTAATCAGGGACAAAATTGTTCAAGAGAATTGGTTTTATCCCTACTTACTTCAGAAACTGAGACTTTGTGGTGCCAGGATCACCCAGCAAAAGTACATTGATGTCACCACGTAGTCGATGTTTCCCTTCAACATTTTTCTCCTGTCCTCCGAACATTGCAAGCGCAATTGCAGCTTTGACATCCTCATGACCATAGATAGATGGAGCAATGGACTTTACAATCTGAAATGGATATATGCATAGTACTTCATGGTCATGGTAGGGAACATAAAATGGATATATACACAATTCGTCATGGTCATGAAGGAAGCTTTTCACACCCTTTCTCCTATCCGTGGGCCTTTGGCCAACATCTCAATTTCTTCTTTGTCCTCCTGGGTAAGTTTGTACGAAGAAAAGAGATCATGCTTCTTTGTAACGTAATTGGCCTCAATTATTGTGGCAAAGACGGGAAATCCATTCTTTGTATTCAAAGATAGGTCAAAGTTGTTCGTGTATACACCGGTCACTTCCTGGAATACACAAGAACACACTGTGAAAAACTAGCATTTTGAAAATCAGTGAAAGTTCAAACAAGAGTCCAAGAAAGAGATCATACAATCTCTTCACCAGGGCGGGCGCAATCAATCAAATCATTCAGCAGTATCACTTCCTTGTGTCTAGGAAGCCGGCCCGCTGGCACAATTCCTGGGCTTTCTTGAAGTGTGAGTTTCTGGTAATTCCTATAAATCGTCTGTGCCAAGGGAATGCAAAGATACATTTTACCAACACGTACATATTTCATGGCAAAGCCCTTCTCTACAATCTTCGCCTTTTCAGCTGAACATTTGTTACAGATTTACGCAGAAGAAATACTTTACCTGTTCAATATTGACGGTAAATGGTCCTTTTGATTGGCATTCAGGACAAGAACCAACTTTGACTTCTGAATACGAGTTTTGAAAGAAAGGTCCCAATATTGCCCCACATTTGTTGCAATCATACTTGACTTGTTGCAACTGTGGGAAAACTCCTGAATGCCTAGTCACAACTCCCCCAATGCGAATCATGGTATTTAAATGTATCTGCCTGAAAAGAAGAAACACTGAAGTTAGATCAGGTTAGTGCAAAGGCATGTTAATCTACAACAAGCCGTGAGCAATACCTTATGTTCCGGATCTGATCATATACTGGCAAGTTGGTAACACGGACATAGATTTTCTGATGGATATTTTTGTACTTTGGATGCAAGTCAAAGACCACACTTTTGGCAACCTCTTCCATGACCTCCAGGACTGATTGAGGAGCATCAGCAAGCCAGATGGCAATATTTGGGTGAACGTAGATGAACTGCTTGTAATCGATCTCCAAGCTACACTTATTTGCTGCAAATATATAAAATTGTTACATTTACTAGGGGTACACCATTAGGTAACAGCTTGCGCAATTGAGCACGAGTAGACTTTTTACCTAACGCCATCTCATTTATCAGCCGCACATACTCAAAATCTCCTTGTCCACTCTTCGGATTCACGTAGGTGAGCAAGAACTCCTTGAACTTCCTGGCTATGAAACGTCGAACCTCATCTCTGGTAACCCACTCCCTCAAAGTTCCTTGGACGCGGTACATCTCAAACTCACCTTCATCGCCATCTTCATCCTACACAGACATCCATTTGAGGGTCTAGACTAATTGTACCAGTAATGAACTTCTTCGGCCAAACTCATGGTACAAGATTAAGAGCTAGGAATTTAATGCAATTATAAATTGCTACCTCATAAGGATAATCATCAGTTTGATCAGTCATGGGCACATCGTCTCTTGAATGTCCACGCTGGGACCTTCCTGGAGAGCTTTGCATACCATCGGTATCATCATAACTTTGAGGATCGGTAGGAGGCCTGAAATCAGCTCGAGACCTCTTCGAAGGCCTGTAGTTGTCATCGTCTGTTCCAACAAAAAAATGTGTCAGGATGAATTCAATTAACCGATAACATGAGCTGAAGGAGGAAATGCGTGTAGGCGGCAAGATACTGAAGGAAGACGTACTGAGAAACTAAATCTTGATTCTCGTCAATCCAGATATTTGTAATTAGGATCAAATAGCAAGGCTAAACTTTGAGGGAACAAGTATTCAGAAAAAGAGTGATATTGGACCATTCTAGGGTTTGTAGTTTCAAGAAGCAATCCATGTATAGGTGACTTACCAAGGTCGTGGAGGAGCTGAGGAAGCTTTCGGTTAGTCATGCGGCCTTCACGAGTCTCAAGCTCTAGTTCATCAGCCCTGCGGTCCTGCACGATCTGATCCATATCCCTTTCGTCCTCCAAGGAGTCATCCAACCCAACTGACTCGTACTGGTCGTTCTCTTCCATTCTCCGGTAATCACTGAAATCCAACACATGAACAGAAATCAAATAAGCAGGAAAAGGTCAGTCTGAGATTTAGCAGAAGAATAAGAAGAAGATAGAAATGAACTGAGAACAGAAATGCCAGAATACGGACTCCAAGAAATCATCGTGGTAGAGTTCCTCTCCTTCCTCCTCTTCCTCGTCCTCCGCAAGCTCTTCGGGCTCATCTGGAATGATTTGGGGATCGACAGAGGCCTCGTCGTCGTCAGTGTTGTTATGGCTGGTATGGTGAGGGAGTTGATCTGTATTGAAGCCTGCCGATGTCGGAGAATCCGGCGTAGAAGGTTGATTTTCAGAATTGGGAGTCGGCGACGCCATTTTCCAACTTTCGGAGACTGAGACTCTTCCAAGGGTTTGCTCGGGGCAGCAAGAAAAATTACAATCTCGCAGTCCAGTCTAGTGTAAGTGTCTCCCAAGTGAACCCCGGGGACCCTACCAATACCGCCAATGGGGGCTGTTGGCGGGAAGTCTTCGCGCCAATTTTGGTAATGTACTGGGCTTCCGGTCACCCTCAAGAGCGGGGCTTCAGCCCAAGAAAGAAGATGCGCAACTCTGTACTTTCTAGGGCTTTTTGTTTTTTTGGTTTTTTTAAGAGTATCAACAGTATAATTTATAGCTGAAAAGTAAAACTGCAACCCCCATTCAAATTTTCCTGTCCATAGAGTGATTTTAGGAAGCTGATGTGGCAGGGTGTTAAGCGGGAAAAAAATAGAACTCCCCGCCTGATTGCAGAACTAAGAAACCGTTCACTCCCCACCTTTTCTCCTGGTTTCCCACGTTATCATTTAATTTTCATTTAGTTTTCTTTTGGCTGAAATAAGTCCACCTTTTCTACTGGTTATTAAGAGAGAGAGAAGAAATTCACGGAAAGGGAAGCTCAATTGCAAGCACATTACAGAGAGAGAGGGGGAAAGGTGAAAGGGAGGAGAAGGAAGGAGGTTGCTTACCCTTTTACAGATTCGATCTGCGGAAGGAATGTAAGAAGAGATTAGGTAAGCGCAGAGGAGCTGTGCTGTGCTGCCCTTGCCCTAATCGGGACAAACCGCAAGGAGCTAAACCTGGCATTCTAATGGAGGAATTGGGGTGTGGGGGTCGCATATCCTCTTTTTGGAAGACGATGAAACCCTATTTCTCTGATTGCAAGCCTCTTCCAGGGCATCTTTCTGGCAGTAGGCTAATTCACAAAGTGATTGTGATTCGATGGAGGTAAAACCCGAACCCGTGGCGAAGAGGTTGTCGACGATTGAGGCTTTCCCCTCCGGCGAGAAGCACAACTACTGCCGCCGCCACCACCGTCTCCCCCGCCGCCACGAACCCTGCTTCTTCTTTCTTCTCTGCTTCAACCTCTAGAAGGTCGCTCCAAATCGCTCCAGCTACTCTTGAGGAGGCCCCCATCACTCTCAAGCCAGCGGTATTTCCTTCTTTCTTATTAGCTCCAAGCTCATAATTGGTCTTTGTTTTATTATCTTTGTATGTGATTATGCTGTAAATTTGGGAGAACTGGGTAATTATGCGGCGAACCCTTCTCCAGCCAACCGCCAATTCCATGGGGAGGGGTTAATTTTGCTGTATCTTTGTTTCCCCTGGTTCTTGCAATCGGATTAGGTATCATTTATGTTCTCCCTTTGTGGTTCTGAAGTAATATTACTTTGTTCTGTCAAGTGCCATTATCATTGATCGACGAAAGGATAAATATAATTTGTGGAATTGTGTGGTGGAAGTGCTCCTTGTTGTTGCAAGTAGCAAAAATTACTAGAGGTTCAATTACTTGAAAAACTTGACTTTAATTGGGATCTTCATGTGCTTTAAGGGTGTACTGACATTCTTTATTGAGCCCAAAGAACTACCTTTTGCTGCTGTAATTTCTCATTGATGGTTTGGCTTCATTGAAGATTGTTTTTCAAGTTATATTTGCATGTATGATAATTTTATATGTGTGATTCAGGGATCATGTTAGAACTTGGATTATCTGAAGATTGAATATTTGCATGTCCCTCATATAGTCGGATTTGAATTGCAGAACTATCCCTTACGTGCCAAATACTACTATAGTCGGGCATGCATTTGTTGCTAGGATTTCTGAACCTCTATTTTTCTGTAGTTTAAATTCTCTACTAGCAGTTTACCAAAGGATTAACAAACAAAAAGAAAGAAAAACAGTAGCAGTGAAACCATGTTGCAAAGTCACAGCCTTAGTAAATTGTGTATGCGTGTTGGAGTCCAGGAATTATTCAAACTTCTAATTCAGTAGCATTTGATGCCCCAGAACGTGAAAATGAACAAAGTTCATTTGCTCTGTTGCAGCATGTGTCCTGCATGTTTTGCCGTGGTTGGTGTTGTTGGATTTGATAATGTTTTCTTTCTGATATTAATATGTTTGAGAGGGTCGAGTAGATATTGTTGCTATCGAGGTCAGAATATCTGCTTCTGATATGTTAGACTGCTCGCTTTAACTATTTGGAGTCCTAAGACTATGACACTCGAGCAATTGTTTCACCTGTAAGTATATTCAATCATCCAACTTTCGGAGATTTCTAAAGAGAGGTAAAGCTTCTTACTGGATATAATCTGAATATAGTATGTGCATAATATCTGCCTGAATCGATTAGAGATTTGATGGTAGAGAATTTGATCCCTTTCTTTGAATTTTCAATTTGGTGAACCCAGTTGGTGGATAAATTCCATTGTCACTTTCTTGCGAATCTAGAAGTTGGGTCCGTTTTCACCTTATAATAATTAAGAGGGTCTATCAGTTTTACTTATTCCAGTTGTCGTTCTTCTTCTCCAGATTCCTCATCCGTGGCAGTATTTGGTGAACTAGAAATATTAAATGGAGTCCTAAAAGGAGCTTAATAGTATTCTGTCAAATTTATTTACTCTATTTTTGGATTACTTCTCTACAGCTTATCAAATTTATTTACTCTATTTTTCTAACCATCATGTCTGTGATGCAGAGCTTTGAAACACAAACAGAATCAAAATCATGAGAAGTTGGTAGCTGCAAAAATGTTTCCCTTTCTTTAGGCAGCAGGTAATATTTGGTGTCTTCTTCGTGGTTGATGACTTGGAGAAATTACATACCTGCAAGTGGCAAGAGTAGTTCTTCATCAGTGGAGCCTGAATCTCTTGATACTGTGATCGATTCGCTGAAGCGTGGAAATGTGAATTCCGATTGCTTCTTTTATATTTCTTTAACGTTGTGCCATGTATTATTAATCATGGGTGGACAGCTTGGATTGGTTGCTTGATGAAGAGAAATGAGAGATGGTGACCTGCTCAGCAAACAAGAGTGTTGTATGCTGTGTTGGGCGGTTGAGGGCAATTTGGAGTGATCAATAGAGCAAGAATTCCCTAGGCTCCAGCTCCCCAAAGGGTATGTACCCTTCCCTTAATTCTATATGAATAAATTCTATAAGGCAGTACACAGTACACTGAATCTATGTCATTTAACCTCTGTAGAGGGTGATGTGGTTTATCAGTAATTCATTGGAAGAGTAGGCTGGCAGGAACCAGAAGGTAAACAAATATTTATGCGAGGACTTATGAGATTTTAGTGTACTAAGTAAGCATACGTTTAAACAATGGTATTGTATCTTTGATCACTGCATCACCAACTAGTCAATGGAATTCTTATCAAAAGACAGTGGAAGTAACTTCAAATATTCCTGCATTGATTAGTTCCATCTCACCAGCAAAGCCGAGCGTTATAAACTTCTGTTTTCAGTGTTTTGTCAGTTTCAACCGTTTTATAGATTCATGTCAGTTCGTCAAATTTACGCCACCAATTATAATCATCACTATTATTATACTCATTAAAAATTCACCAAATTAATTAACACCTTAATATCACCAATGATGAGTAATTTTGTAATTCCCATTTATTTTCCCTTTATAATCACCCTTTATAATTCCAAACTCATAACTTTTTTTACTTCTTCAAATCAATTTATATTTCGTTACCTCTTGCACTATGGAAGTGTAGTGACACCAAAAGTATCTAAGTTATTGATTCGGAGATTAGAATCATATGATGAGTAGAGACTGTACATTGAGCGTCTTTGCTCTATAAAAAAAATCCTATTTGCATCGTATTATAAGTTTGAGACTCCAACACAGCATTCCTTTGGAAGCATTAATTTCTTAGGATCAAATTTTGGTTAGTTCCTTCGTGAACTATTTGGTTTGAGTTCTTTTCAATTATTTGTTGTAGATCTTTGGAGATGAGATTAGGAGAGCACAATGCAGTTTCATTTTTTTCTTCTTTATTTTGGAGTTACTTATTAAATCCATTATTCATGTACTCCGGACAATCACAAAAGCTAAAAAGAAAGTGAAGCTCCAATTATTAATGGTTGCATTCATCTGCTCTTAAACCTTCAATGTTCCGAGATTCATCCCATCTTAAACCAGCTAGTTGCTTTCATGTAAAAGACCCGTTGATACATTTTGCAATGAGTTTTGTAGTTACTTCTTATGCATTGGGAAGTTAACCAGCACCGATCATTGGGGATTTTATATAAGCAGCAACAAGTTCTTACTTTTGCGAGGTCATAGACCTTAATTTATTTCAATTGGATGTTCGTGTTTTGGTAATGTGTTTCATGACCATTTCACCATGATTTACTTCTATTTTACTCAAGGAAAAATGCATACCAATCTTGCCAACTGATGGCCTGTGTTTCATGACCGTTTCACCATGGTTTACTTCTATTTTACTCGAGAAAAATGCATACCTCTTCTCTGGGAGTAAAGGATGTGATCACCAATTTGTCGTGCGCTGCTTCAAACTCATATATCATCCACATAACAGTTGAGAGTGCAACCACTGAAGTTCAAGTAATTTTCCCCTTGCCTCAATCGAGAAGAATTGCTTCAGTTGTCATGAGTCACGACGATCCTTTAGTGTACTTAGTTTTTGTTAGGTCGCCAATTTATATTCCTCTATGTTATTCCCCGCCTGTTATGTGAAGGGGTAGTAGTGATTGGGTGTCTTAGTTCATACCATAAACTTTCTTTATTTATGCATTAACCAACTGTATATGTAGGGCTCTGCAAACATTTAGTTAAGGGTTCATCTTCGTCAATATACAATTGGCAATTTTGTTTTTTATCTAGACCTTAACTTCATGAGATTACTACTTCATTGGGTATATAAGTTAAAGGTTTGTCTCGGTTACATGGTTGTCAATTGTCATGTCGTTTGCATGCCATCCGGTTAAATTTGGTTCAACCTGTGCCGGTCATGAAACCGTCATGGCACCACTGGTATGATCGACTTATGCATTCTAAGCAAAATGACATCATATTAATGAATTTAATTAATAAAAAATTAACTTATTATTCATTTT